ACCAAACAGGATTGGATTTGGAAGATAGATATATATAATGGACTTCGACAAGAAGGTATGGTCACCATGCACATGCATACACATGCGTGTACGACTGCTGCAATCTGATTGGCTGAAACTGTAAACAGCTATAACTCCCTTGGTTTTCAACCAAACAGGTTGGGATTTGGAACAAAGTTATATGTAAGGGACTTCTATAAGAAGGTATGGTCACCCTGTACATACATACACGTGCATGTACGTGCGCTGCAATCTGATTGGCTGAAACTTTAAACAGCTATGACTTCCTTGGTTTTCAATCAAACGGGGTTGGATTTAGAACAGATAGATGTAATGGACTTCTACAAGAAGGTATGGTCACCATGCTCATGTATGCACGTGCGTGCACGTGAAATGGGTAAAGTCAAAAATACACTTGAATGAGCGTTTTTTTTTATACTTTTGGATTAAATACATTAAAATTTAGCATATCAAAATATATAGATTGTGTAGAGAATATGATATGGTCATTACGCACATGCATTAACATGCGCAAGTGTGCAATGATAAAATTTGAATGAACATGGTACACTTCTTGGTAAACGTTGTTAAAGTCTCAAATGCAAAAAGTTTGTCTTATTTAATTACGCTTACAGGGAATATGACTATAAAAGGGAGTTGGGGAGCGTTTGGAAATCTGAACGTCCGTTACAATTACACTAGTTATATGAATGCTTTGAGTATAGCACAGACATCGAGACTGCATGGGCGATGGGCCAGGGGAGGGGATGGGGGGGGGGGGCTATACATCATATAAGCATTGAAAATGCACTTACCATTTTTGGGTTTATTGCTCCCCTCCCCCGTTTGTTACCGACACCTATGTATTGGAAAGATAAATATTTGAACTGAGGGGTCTTATACCCGTCTTCTCCTCTTTTCGACGGGAGTAAATCAATTCATTTTTGAGGTTAGGGTTAGGCTTACTTTTTTGAAAGATAAATAACAAATAAAATCTTTCCATGACAAAAATATGATTTTTTTTTCAAAGTGCGTTACTTGTCTTCATGGTAAAATATATTGATGTAACTCTTAACGCACTTTGAAAAATTTTTTCAAAGTGCGTTGGTTGTCCCAAAATTTTAAAGCACTTTGAAAAATTTTTTCAAAGTGCGTAATTTTTTCAAAGTGCGTTGCCACATACACAGCTAATTGTGCCACGTACGTGTTACATATGGTTGCACATAACACATGTATCACGTATGTGAAATGTACGTATCCATACGTGTATTACAAACATACGTTTCACGTATGTGGTACAACGTACGTATAACATATGTGTGACTACATGCGTTTCACATAACATACGTTAAACGTATGTTTGGAATACACGTATGTGTTACGTACGTGAAACGTACGTGTAACATATGTTATGTGCAACCATACGTTACACGTACGTTAATAAACGTACGGTTTACATGTATATTGTAAACCACATGTTACACGTTACGTACGTTAATTAACATATGGTTTACATGTGTATAGTCAACCACATGTTACACGTACGTTAATGAACACATGGTTTCAATATTTATTTCACATTGTTTACCTTACGTCCACTTTCATGTCTGGCATAATGTTATCAGTTCGCATTGGTTTAAAATTTACTCTAAAAACAGTTAACAAAGTTTACATAAAAAGTTCTCCAATCTCGTCATATGTATCGGATATCGGTAGAGGCACATAAAATTGAACTCGGTCATCGGTAGATATAATCAATCCGAATTCAAGAGCAAAAATATATTTTAAAAAAGAAAGAAATTCACGATAATTTCACAACAAATCTCAAAAGGGAGTAAATGATTCATCTAGATAATTATCAAATATACAGTGAGTACCGTCCGTATAAAACTTATAAAATATACCTTCCGGAATTTTCCAGCCTCCATTTATGTATTACATGTACGTTACCAGTGACGTCACTGGTAAGAGAAGTTGACGTCTGCAAGTTCTAGGGCCTAGCTAAAGGTGAGGAATGCATAAAATCAACAATTATTTAATTACTTTATGACTGTGTGTTGCATGTAAACTAAGGGGGTGTTTTTTTTCTTCAGTGTATTACATAATGGAGACGTGGGCTACCAAAAACAGAAAATATTGACCATGTTGAGCCAGTGAGCTGTCTTGGTCAGCACCCAGGTGTATCCATCAACACGGGCACGTTATATCAAAATGCAAGATGAAGTTTAAAAAATACTGTTATAACAATTAAGTATTTATTTAAAATGTTTTTAACCTAACAAATAAGATGCAAAAAAAAAAAAAAAAAAGAAACAACAATTTGATGTAAAGTTCCACTCACTGAATTTATTTCTTTTTACAGTATTTAAAACATCACATTAGATGGTAAAGGAAATTATTATCTTTGAGTGCAATAATGGTGTAACAGTTTTGTTTTTACATATCTGCCCTTTTAATCCTTATGAATATAAATTGTGTTTGAGATTGAGAATTTTTATGTGATTTTAGATATGCATTCCAGGATGGTGACTGATTCGCTCAGCTTTGTAAACACCTATATGCCTAGAATGGACTCCAAAACGGATTTATACAAAGTTTAACCAGTATAATCTCAATATGGTAATACTTTTAAAAAGGAATAAGATTTTCTTATCATATTGCTTTTAGACTTGCAAATACTCATGTAACTTGAAGCTTTTCATGTAAAATTTGAAATGCAATAAGATTGACGAATTTCACACTACTAAGAGTTATTTCCCTTGTCGGCATAACTCTAATTTTTCCACTTTGTCCTTTGTAAGTTACCTGTTATTATTTTCAATCTTCAAACGTTATTGGACAATTTAGATCTGTACCTGTATTGCCGAAGTTTGGGGCAACATGAAAATCTTAATGAACGATATTCATTACAGATTTTATTTTTAAGATACTGACCAATAAATTTGGTAAGGTTACAGAGGGAAAACAGGGCCTTATGCTGGATTGACCCTGCAAAGGGGAATAACTTTTGAAAAATTTAATGTGAAAGTCGTCTATTTTTTTTTTTACATATGTTTTTTTTTAACCTCAAGGACAAAAAGTATACACTTGGAACACAAACAAAAACAGATGAGTCCATGCCAAGCTAAAGATTAATGCAGAAGGTAAGTTCAATTTTTCATTTCGTAACTCTTCTGGTTTTATCCAGATCGGACCTTACATATAATTAAGTCAGCTTCAGTATATAATAGAAGGATATGGAGTAGTGATGGAACGCTTGTCGCCGACAATCGATTGTCGGTCGTTAGAAGCTCTTCGATGCTACTAATCGATTATAAAATAAATGTCGCCGACATCGCTAACAAAAAATAAAATTGTCATACTTTAATTTTATTGCCAAATCCAAGTGCAAAGAGCATTAAAGTAGTGATGAACGTTGAAAACATCGAAGGATAATAGGATTCCGTGTCTTGTTGATACTTTTACCGCCATGATTAAATATGGGGTTAGACTAATACCAGGAAACGCTAATATTGCAAGGTTTTACTAGGCCCATACAAAGGAAAACATAATTAGTCTAGTAATCTTGAAACGTAATTATTATCATAAATAAAGTCTAACTTCTTTTAAGACTTGCAATTTTATTATTTTAACTAATTAAAACTAATTTTAAGAAAAATATGCATGTATTAAATAAAAGGTGGGACTAATATCAGTAAAATACCCATTGCATGGACTTTAAAAAAAAAAAAAAATAAAATAAATTCTCATTCTGTTTCAATAGTCTTATATAGTCCTATATTGTTTAAAGTAAACAAAATATTATTTTCCACTTTTTATAAAAGAAATTTCAATCAACATTTTTGAATATTTTATGTAAGTAATGTTTTTTTGTAAAAGTTTGACAGAAATCTGAACAAGTTTCAACTTTTCTATATTAATTTTATTAAAGTTCAAAATTTCGATTATAATCAATTATTAATCGATTATGCCCAGCCGATTATTACCGATAATCGATTCTGATTTTTTTCAATTCCCCATCACTAATATGGAGATAACGAACAGTATTCAATCTAAAGTCCATAAAACTATACAAAACAAGCTAATTCAAAGAATTCGTGTCCCCCGCTTAGGGAAAAAAATCGGCCCCCCCTACTGAATTTGTAGAATTATTAAATGTATACATGTATACTGAAGCAAATAAAATACATGTATGTCAATATGCATATAAAGATTTGATTGCTTATTCTTCATTATGTGTATAAAAGATTTTTTTATATGGAATTTTTATCACACTGTAATGAAGATTTTATAACCTCATAAATTTTTCATTTGACATGCTGAATACTATCATTTAGTAAAAAAAAAGTATTTAAAAAAAAAAAGTAAGGTTCAACCGAGATTCGATCCCGGGACTTCACACACTTCAAGCGAGAGACATAACCATTAGACCACGGAATCGCTTTACATGGTATGAAGTATATGCAGAAGTGAAGTCACATACATGTATATATTCATGTTTTCATGTTCGGTATTCTCAAAATTTTACACAATCCATGGTGTTTGATTTATTTAGCCTTTATTAAACAGTTCTAATAGATGTGATAAGAACATAAAGTCCATCGAGAACCTGTTTATACGCAATAACTCTCCTCATGCCCCTGCGCTAAAAATAGCGACATATGTAATACTTTAAAAACTAATAATACAAACGGGGCGGGGCACTTTGAGAGGGGCGAGAGACGTCCTAGGGAGTTTTGGTATAAAATTACATTGCATAAGACCAAAATCTTCTTGAAATATCGCCCGGAAATGGTAGTATTACACACGGACAGAATATATAAATTTACGACCTTGAACTTTGACCTTTTGACCTCAAAATCAATAGGGGTCTTCATTAGGCCACAGGGAGTTGTTATATAAAATTTCATTGCAATAGCTCAAATGGTTCTCGAAATATCGTGTGGAAACGAAAGTGTTTTAACAGACAGAATTTGCTTATTTATGACCTTGACCTTTGACCTTTTGACCTCAAAATCAATGGGGGTCTTCTTTAGTCCACAGGGAGTTGCTATGCTAAATTTCATTGCAAAAGCTCAAAGGGTTCTCGAGATATCGTGTGGAAACGAAAGCGTTACAGTCAGACAGAAGGACGGACGGACGGACGGACAAACCCAAATTAATATGCCCCACTTTTCAAGCAGGGGACAATAAGAGCAGAGCAAACACGGCCCCAAAACATCAGAGGTGGGATCAGGTGCCATAATAAAACACCTATTTACTTACTATTCGGAAAATAGCTTGTTTATCATCTCTCTCAACAGCAAACATTTCCCTCGTCTGCATCTTGGGGAATAGTTGTTGTCTTTGGGGATGATAAACTAGCTATTGTCCTCATAGCCAGTATATAGGTGTAAATGTATACTGTTTTTAGCTCTTCTATGCCAAAGGCTCAATGAGCTAATGCTACGGCCATTTGTGCGGTGTGCATAAATTTTTTAGCTCACCAAGCCAAAGGCTCAAGTGAGCTTTTCTGATCAAAATTTGTGTTGTTGTGTTGGCGTCGTTGTTGTCGTTGGCGTTGGCTTTGTTGTAAACTTTTCACATTTTCATCTTCTTCTCAAGAACCACGGGGCCAAATTTTAAACCCAAACTTGCTACAAAGTATCCTTGGGAAAAGGGGGATTAAGTTTGTTCAAATGAAGGGCTGCGCCCTTTTCCAAGGGGAGATAATTATGAATTAGAAAAAAATTAATGGCTTTTTTAAAAAACTTCTTCTAAGAACCACTAGGCCAGGAAAGATGAAACTCATGTGGAATCATCCTCAGGTAGTGTAGATTCAAGTTTGTTCAAATCATGACCCCCCCAGGGGTGGGGGGGGCCAAAATGGCCGAATAAATTTTTACTTATGAATATACAGGAAAATCTTTAAAATTTTCTTCTCAAGAACCACTGGACCAGGAAAGATGAAACTCATGTGGAATCATCCTCAGGTAGTGTAGATTCAAGTTTGTTCAAATCATGACCCCCGGGGGTAGGGTGGGGCTAAAATGGCCAATCAAAGTTTTACATAGGAATATATAGGAAAAATCTTTAAAATCTTCTTCTCAAGAACCATTGAGACAGGAAAATAAAACGATGGAATCATCCTCAGATAGTGTAGATTCAAGCTTGTTCAAATCATGACCTCGGGGGGTAGGGTGGGACCAAAATGGCCAATAAAGTTTTACATAGGAATATCTAGGGAAACCTTTTAAAATTTGTTTTCAAGTACTTTAAAGCCATGCTTAGTGATATTTATAGGGAATCATCCTCAGGTAGTGTAATTAAGTTTGTTCAAATCATAGCCCCCGGGGGGGTTAAAATTCAAGCCCCCCCCCCCCCCCCCAGCAAACGTTCAGTTCTGATCTGATGTGTGTTTTTTCCTAGCAAATTGCTCAGGTGAGCGATGTGGCCCCTGGGCTCTTGTTAGAATGTGGGTCATAACTAAACCCCCTTGGACAATCATTGTCAAATTTTCACAGGGCATCCTTGGCCCAAGGGCTACCATTTATACTAAAATTAGGGTTTGGAGATAATCAGGAAGATAAAACCAAAAAAAGTCTATATTGGCCTAGAATTGTTAAACTTTGTCAGTTGAGGCATCTTTGGGGGAAAGTCGACCAAAAAGTAGGTCACCATGATCTACTTATGGTATTTTATAGCTCTATTAAAATATTTCAGTCCTAACTGGCTAAGAATCATCGAATTTTCTTATTGATGTTTTTTGGGTTTTATAAAATAGAGGCTTCAAATACTAGTGATAGATTGTACAATTTATTAGAAAAGCGATTCAAGGCCCTTTTTCTTTTTGTCCATCGTCATACACTTGTCGTCTGGTAAAATTTTAGCATTTACTTCCTCCTCCCCCCCACCACCCAAACAAAGGGGGGGGGGGGGAACCCATCAAAATTATTCAAAATTGTATTTTTTTAATTGGACATCAAGCAAACTAATACAAGATTTTAATCAGCAGGGAGTCCTAATGAAATTATAAAATTTCATATAGCCCCAGGGTAGGTGGATCAGATGTAAAGGCACAGCTTTATTAATTAATCATAAACTGAAATTGCATTGATTCATTGAAAATCTATATAATGCTCCTAAATTGAAAGCAAAAAGACTAAGTTCATGACAATGAGGAATAAGTTTTGTACCCCTGAATCAAAGATTCTGGGGTACATCTATATAGCTTTTACCCTGTCTGTCTGTCTGCAAAATTTTTCACATTGGCCATATTATTTTAGTGGGTGAAAGTATGGCTTTCATATGTCATAGACCTGGGTATTCATAGTGACAATACTTTTGTATTGGTACACCAAATTAACCTTTTGAATTGAACTTGGAGTATGATTCACTTTTAAGAAAGTTTCATAATTGAATCTTGGCCTTAACTTTTGAACAGTTGGTGCAAGGGCTTTCATATTTCACTTGTATATTTATTGTGACAAAACCTTTCAATGGGATAAATCAAAATATTTGACCTTGTACTTTAGTTTAACCCTGGCTGTTAAAAAATAAATTTATCATAACTTTTAGCTGATAGTAGTAGGGCTTTCATATTTCACATATTTACTCTTTGTGACAACCGTCCTTGGATGTCAAAATTTTGACCTTTGACCTTGACTTTGGAGTTTGACTTGCACTTGGGAAACTTGAACCATAAGCTGGCATATGGGGTATCAGTATTAAATTTTTTTCCAAATTACCCCCAAATCAATGCTATGTAATGAATTTTAGATAAGAAAATTACAAGGTAGATATTTGAGGATATAGTGAAAAAAAAATTTAAAAAATCATTATATGAATACTAAAAAATTAATTATTTAGTATTTATATTTAAGTTCTACCGGGAATCAACTAGGATTAATATGTGGATAATAATAATGTTCAGGGGGAAAAAAAAGGGTTTTCCCTTATTCCATGCATTTAATATTTTCTTTTTTTTTACAGATAAAAGAGAACTGGAGAAGAATGAATTGATGTTAACATACTCAACATTAAATTTGGCTTAAATCTAAATATGTCTTTTGTTGTGATTGCTTAAGAGAAAAAAGGGTCAGGAAATTTAAAGTGAAGGATAACCAGAAAGTGGATCATTCAACAGATGAAAAGAAAATAAGCCTTTGAGAGAAATTATGTCAAATGCATGAATTGAATATTTAAATTGCACGTAATTTTTGTTTCACCAACGTTTACAATATGTGAAAAAAAGTTCAAAACGTGTTTAAAATGGTTTGAAAATTTTTGTATGGTATTTATACATTTACAATATGAGCAGTGCAAATAATAAACCCATTAAACATGTTATGAGAAAAATATGTTACACACACGTTTCACGTACGTTATTCATATGTGAAATATATAAGAACGTGGAAATACGTGTTATGGTGGGCAATACGTACGTTTAAATGCGGCACCCTGATATTCACACGTGTGAAAACATACATATAACGTACGTGGTATTTTTTTCATGGAAAACGTACGTGAAATACGTAGGTCACATACGTTTAACATACGTGAAACGTACGTGGCACAATTAGCGTGTAGCTTATATAAACTCTGCCTCTCGCTCAATCCGTATATATCATTACATAATAATTATTGATAAGATATGTTCAAATCAATTTAACATTTTCATAATTTTTTTTAATGTTAATATATCGTGTGATCGCGAATTATACCACTCTTCCTAATGTGCAATGCCTTTAAAATAATATGGAAAACTAATATAAAACCTTTATCATTCAGACATTCATAGGGGTCGTCAGTAATCTCTTGGACACGGAAGAGAACACGTGAAAGATACTGATGAAAAAGAGGTATTTTCCCTTTATTTATATGCTTTGTATAATAATATTTAGGATTCCTGAATGTAAAAAAAATGAGAATGATTAAATAGTTATTTATATGACTAACCATGACTACAATTTTATGAACAAAACACCTAGGCCATTTAAAGATTTTCTTAGATCTTCTCTTATGGCCGAACCCCCCAAAAATTTCAGGAAGCTTTAAGTAAAATCCATTTTCTGTCCTAAAGGTTACTCACTCAATCTTTTTATGTTTTCTTGTTTCTCTCCCTTTGAACGAGGGTGTTTTCATTCTTTAAAAAAGCGGTTTGCCTTTACCCAAATACATTTTGTTCAAAGTTTAGTTAAACGTTGCCTGAAATTCTAAAACAAAGAAAAAAAATATGAAAATTTACCAGCTGGACAGACAGACGGACAAAAGACAAGTGACAGGGAATAGGTTAAAGACACCCTCTTTTCATCAGAGATTCACTAAATTCCAAAGAACAATCAAAGAACTATCATTATAATATAACTATTATTTTATTTTTATAAAAGGTTACAGGTAAAATATTAACATCTGGGACGGATTTGCGAAGTCTGTGACGAAATCTCTAACAGTAAACAAGACAGTCACCGTTAAGAAAGAAAAACTCTGTAAGACCATTTTATTTATTTTAAATGTAATGAAGACATTGTTTAAAAGGTATTTTTTTTTCAATAATTGGGTTTAATTTACAATCGAGTGTTGACATTGAAAAATTAAAACAGGAGATTGTATTCCCAAAGGAGACCAAAATTTAACTATTCATTACACGGTTCAAGTTACCCAATCCGCATTACAAAATATTTCAGGTATCAAAATTTTTGACTGATTTAACTTCTATATTTTTTGTTAGTATTTGCTATTTTTTTATCCTATGTATTTTTTAATACTTTTTTAAATTTCAGGTGACAATGTTGCATTTACAGCAGTAAAATACGATAACTTGGGCGAGCTTCGATACCGAGGACACTGGCGAGTATGTCATTGACCTAATAAAAACATCACTAATTATTCCAAAAATGTTTTGATAAAAAAGCAAAAAAAAAGTCTAAAATCTGATTAAATTTGGGATTTTGTTTAACTATAAAAATACTAAAATGGTAAAGATGGATTTTCCTTTTTCTTTATTTGTCTCCTTTATTTGAAACTCAAGAGAATGCTTTACAGTTAAACAATTCCGAAGTGAGACATTCTATCTATAAATACCGGTAAGTTAATAACAAGGAAACAACCCCTCTAATTTTTATGAAAATGTCGCAAATTCTATGGTCAAGATTTAACCAAATGCAGTCTTTCAATGTGTCATATTTTGAGAGATGTTTTCCATTCTAATTGTTAAACTAATTGTCAATTACTTTTACACTGAATTGACAACGATTTTTTTTTTTTCATTGATCCATTATGACAAGAAGCATAAGCGGATATACCCAGTCGACAGGGGATGCTTATTCCTTTATGACACAATACCCAAACCCCTAGTTTTTGATTTTTTTATTACAACTCTGCTCCTGATGTGAATTGTTTCAATAGACTCTCATTGTATTATTTCTGTTCTTTGTCTTCATAGTCTTGATGTTATTGACACTGAAAAAAATTTAATATAAACAACCTAAAAATTGCAATTTCTTTTTGGGTGTGTATATATTGTTTATAAGATTATAAGCAAAAGGACACCCCATTTTTGTAGTATTTTTACACTTACAAAAAAATTAAAAAGAGATTACAAAGAAGACTTGATTGGAAGATATCAGAGTACTCTTTTACAAATATCATCATAGCAAATTATAAAAATCTGTATTTGACAATCATTGAAATTATTTTAATGTATAAACTTACACTGTATTTAAACATAATTTAATTTTTTTTTTAAAGGGAACTCGACTCCAGTGTATTATCGCTTACAGTGGACAATTTGAATGGCGCCCTTAATGGTAACATCACACTTACCTTCCAGAGAATTTAAAGAAACTACGTTCAAAGATTTAGTTATCACTTTTTTTCAAAAGTTGCACATTAATTTAGTTGAGCATTTTAGATCTTTTCTCGTCTGTTATATTTTCTCCGTCTGTGTGTAAGCTATACATATTTTTTACTCAATAACATTTGGGTTAATTAGACATCATTTGGTAGAGGGGATGAAAAAAAAAAACCCAAATTTAAAAGATTTCTTTCATAGAGGATATACAAGAAAACATTTTCTTCTCAAAAACACTGGACGAGAAATGAGGAAACTTTAATGAAGATTCCCTCTTGATAACACCTATTTAAACAGTTTAAACAATGACCATTTTGGGATAGGGTGACAAAAACAGTGGGAAGTTCGAAATTTAAATGAAAATTTAGGGGAAAAATTCCCCAAAAACATCAGTATAACCATGGATAATATGTAAACTATCGGTTATTTATTACATTGAAAACATCATACATATATGTGACTGTCATAGTTCCTGGGGGAAAGTGGGGACCATTAAAGATTAGGAAGAAAAGATTTGATTTTTGAACACATAATGATCTTCAGGAGTATATTGAGACCAGAGTAAAAGGCAATGATCCTTTTGCATAAAATTTTTCTTCATCTCAGTGTCATTGTTTAATTTACAGGTCTCAGCCAACAACAATATTGCACAATGTGTCTTTCTAAATGAAGCAGGGCAGAAATTTCCCCACATTTTTAAAAACCCGTGTTTTATTTATTGCATGTTTCTTTTTAAAATTTTATTGTAGAAAATGTACCAATTTTTAAACAATTAAAATAACCCAAAGAAAAATATCTCAATTGCTTTTAATCTTTCTTGCCATGTTTAAATTAATTTTCCTATTTACATACGCTAAATCAATTCAAATTGTTATAATCTTAAATATCAAACATCATTTTTAAAAATCTTTAAAAGGGTTTTTATTAAAATTTCTAACCGACAGTCTTTTTTTTTTTAATTTTTACATTTGTACAAAGGTTTAAGCAATGTATATACAAGAGTGGTTAAACATTAATATATAAACAAAAAGACAAATCAAACTATTTCTTTTTAGAAAAAAAGCGTGTTTAAATTAAAACTTCTTTTACATTTTTTTTATTTTAAACTTATGGAACTATTCAGGTTTGGTTAAAATTTCCCCCCTCCAATAGTTCACAGACCGTGTGTGAGTGTAATCACTTAAAAAACTTTGCTATATTAATGAGTCTGGATAATAGAAAGGAAATGAGGTATTGCATGTACAATTTTAAACTTTGATTTGAAAAAAAGTGTATATAATTATGCAATAAACAGTTTGTTAGAACAATATACCTAATTTAAATAATTTTTTTTAATTCTACCCATCTACAATCATTACATTTCAATGCTACTAAGGAACAAAACAATGTAATACATCTGATCACAACATCTTTTTATTTTATTAGCTATCAGAAGAGGATAAGAAATGGTTGACAATGATTTCCATCATTGGATGCAGTTTTTCTATAGTTGGAGCATTTGCAACAATTGTCATATACTTGTATTTTTGGAGGTGAATTACTGACTTCACTGCTTATTTGCCCTTATGAAACATAGTATTTGTACAGTAAGATTTTACAATAATTCATTTTTTTTCCCCCTTTACAGATACATTAAATCACGAAGATCTGTACTGATTATCAACCTTTGTGTGGCGTTGTCATTTGCATATTTGTTGTTTCTAACAGCTGGAAACCAAACTAACAATGAGGTTAATGCTTGGTAATTATTGTATTCTTTTTAGTTATAATTAATGTAAGTCAATTAACCAGTGCCGTTTAATTCTTAATTTAATTACATCATAAAGCGTATTCTTTTAGGTCACCTGAGTAAACTCAGGTGACCTATTGCTATTCATTTTTTGTCCGTCGTCGTGCGTCGTGCGTTGTGCATTAACATTTGAACATTTTCAGCTTCTTCTCTGCAACCATTAAACCAATTTCAACCAAATTTGGCATAAAGCATCTATGGGTGAAGGGAAACAAAAATTGTGAATTTCATGATCCCTGCCCCCCTGGGGCCTGTGGGGTGGGGCCAAAACCACTAAAATTAGTGCAATCTTTAAAAATCTTCTTCTTTACTCCTGGACATCAAGCAGTCAAACTGTTTGCATGATTGTAATTAGCAATTAGTCCTCTACCAAAATTGTGAAATTCATGGCCCTGGGGTCAGGGGTTCTAGTGCTAGGGCGGGGCTAAATAAGTAGGTAGTGAAAATGCATTATTTCTTTGAAAATCTTCTTCTCTGCTCCTGGGTATTAAATAAACCAACTAAGTACATATTTATGATGTGCAAGAGTGCCTCTACCAAAATTGTGAATTTTATGGCCCCAGGGTCAGGGGTTCTGCTGTAGGGCGGGGCTATATTGATTATATAGTGAAAATACATGAATTCTTTGAAAATCATCTTTTCTGCTCCTGGGTATTAAATAAACTAACTAAGTGCATAGTTATGATGAGCAAGAGTGCCTCTACCAAAATAATGAATTTTATGGCCCCAGGGTCAGGGGTTCTGGTTTTAGGGCGGGGCTCTATTGATTATATGGTGAAAATACATGAATTCTTTGAAAATCTTCTTCTCTGCTCCTAGGTATTAAATAAACTAACTAAGTACATAGTTATGATAAACAAGAGTGCCTCTACCAAAATTGTGAATTTTATGGCCCCAGGGTCAGGGGTTCTGGTGTTAGGGCAGGGCTCTATTGATTATATAGTGAAAATACATGAATTCTTTGAAAATCTTCTCTGCTCCTAGGTATTAAATAAACTTACTAAGTGCATAGTTATGATGAGCAAGAGTGCCTCTACCAAAATTGTGAATTTTATAGCCCCAGGGTCAGGGGTTCTGCTGTTAGGGCGGGGCTCTATTGATTATATAGTGAAAATACATGAATTCTTTGAAAATCTTCCTCTCTGCTCCTAGGTATTAAATAAACTAACTAAGTGATAGTTATGATGAGCAAGAGTGCCTCTACCAAAATTGTGAATTTTATGGCTCCAGGGTCAGGGGTTCTGGTTTTAGGGCGGGGCTCTATTGATTATATGGTGAAAATACATGAATTCTTTGAAAATCTTCTTCTCTGCTCCTAGGTATTAAATAAACTAACTAAGTACATAGTTATGATGAACAAGAGTGCCTCTACCAAAATTGTTTTAATTTTTATGGCCCCAGGGTCAGGGGTTCTGGTGTTAGGGCGGGGCTCTATTGATTATATAGTGAAAATACATGAATTCTCTGAAAATCTTCTCTGCTCCTAGGTATTAAATAAACTTACTAAATGCAAAATTATGATGAGCAAGAGTGCCTCTACCAAAATTGTGAATTTTATAGCCCCAGGGTCAGGGGTTCTGCTGTTAGGGCGGGGCTCTATTGATTATATAGTGAAAATACATGAATTCTTTGAAAATCATCTTTTCTGCTCCTGGGTATTAAATAAACTAACTAAGTGCATAGTTATGATGAGCAAGAGTGCTTCTACCAAAATAATTAATTTTATGGCCCCAGGGACAGGGGTCTGGTGTTAGGTTGGGACTGTATTGATTAAATAGAGAAAATACATGAATTCTTTGAAAATCTTCTCCTCAGCTCCTAGGAAATAAATAAACTAACTAAGTATATAGTTATGATGAGCAAGAATGCCTCTTCAATAATTGTGAATTTTATAGCCCCAGGGTCAGGGGTTCTGGTGTTAGGGCGGGGCTCTATTGATTAAATAGTGAAAATACATTAAATCTTTGAAAATTTTCTTCGCTGCTCCAGGGTATTAAGCAGATGAACTACCAATATAGTTATGATGGACAAGGGCCGATATCTTCCACAATTGTGAATTTCAAGGCCCCAGGGTCAGGGGTACCATAGAGGGGGGGGGGGGGGGGTGGTGTACTTGTATACTGAAAATGAATGAATGGTTTGAAATCTGCTCCTTGGTATTAATCAAATATCAAGGCCTAAGGGTCAGGGGTTCATGTATGGTAGGGGTACTACTGATTATTGCTGAATATTACTGATTAGTTGAAATGCATTTTGTGTTCCCTTTCCCTGCGTATGGGTATTAAGTAAACAAACTAAGCAACTGCTAAGTGTATTGTTATGATGATCAATGGTGCCTCTTTCAAAATTGTGAATGCCATAGCATCTGGCTTAAAACATGAATCAAATTCAATCACTGGAAAGTTGTTGCATAATGCTCAGGTGACCTATAAGGCTCATGGGCCTCTTGTTTCACTTTTAAATATTAGTGTGTTCTTTATACAGGCACTTTTGAAATTTGTACCATAAAACATCATGTTAGACAAATTTATATGCTAATAAGATACCATTTGTAACTCGAGACACTCAAATATTTATGTTTCGTTCCAGACCGTGTGTACTGTCATTGCGGCTCTTCTTCAGTACTTTTTCCTTGCCATGTTTTGCATTATGTTGGCCCTGGGAATCGATCTGGCAGTGGCCATACTTGATGTTTTCAGTACCAGATCTAGCTCTGCTCTTTTACTACTACTGGGCTGGGGTAAATTTATTAGTAATAATTACAGAAAATTTGTAGTTATATACTTAAGAATTTGTCCTAGGTTTTTTTAAACACCCTGACATAGTATTTTTTAATCATTGACGAGTATAAATTTCGAGTAATGTTATTCCCATCAAAAAAAAATTTAAATTAATAAATTTTAGGCGTTTGATTAGGCATAAAAATTGTGTAAGAAATTGATAAAATATAAATTTTTGAATCCTAACAATTAGATTTATTATTTTCATGTGACTGTAATTGTTCCATTACATAAGGACTACCAGCTGCTGTCGTGGGAATCACGCTCGGAGCAACGGAACTGCATGACATAGGGAGTAAAACGTTGTAAGTACATCATAAGTCTTAAAATTAGCTTCATACTATTGTTTTTTTTAAGTTGTTATTTTTCCTGTCCCATATTGTGATTTAAAGAAAAATTACTTTGAGAGAAGATAAAAATTCAGTGGCATTAATGTAATTATATCATGATGAAAAGAGATTTCTAATGCATAGCACTGGTATCCATACCAGATCGGATTTATCAAATGATTTTAAGAAATCTTATACACTTAATCGATTTGTACAAAAATTTCGTGCTTTGATTTAATTCAAAAGCTTAAAATATAACTTATAAAGCGTACTTTAAACAGTCTTGATAATCTTTTTTAAAAGACCTTTTGTAAAAAGTATCCCTTTTAACAAATATATTGATTCAAAATAATTTTGTCACAATTGTCATTGATTTTCAATTATCTTTTTGTCAAATAATATATATAAAAAGCTTCTTTAATATTTCAGTTGCTGGCTGAGAAATAGTGCTCTTTATGGTTTTATTGTTCCTGCCCTGATCATTATTTCGGTAATGAAATAATATGATACATCTGATTTCTTATTATTTTCTAATGTTGAGAATTAAGTGCTATATATAACGAAAATAAGGCCTAGAGATAAACAATACAAATTTAAAAGATACAAACAACAAAGTGGAACAGAACTGTCATCGATATATCATGCATTATCATATAGATAATAAAAAGTCCCTGAATAATCCATAAAAATGCAAATACAGTAAAACCGTCTGAAACGGAGTGTCAGGGATAGACAATTTTGCTTCTTTTTATTCTTTTTATCCGTCAAGTTTACAATAAAAAATAAAATCACGGGGAATGAGAATCAATTTTTTGTAAATGTCAACCTATTATTAGTATCTTCACTATAATAGAGGTTTTCTGTAGATCATAAGATTGGTTTACACATCCACTGGATTTGAAGCCGTTTTCAACGAAGATTCCGTGTGCGTTAGGCGGTATTTTGACGTCACTATCAAACCTCTTACAAGGTTGAAAAGGACGCTTGTTACTGCCGTAGTCAGCTGTATATTTGAGCCGAAATAATATCTTATATGTCTTATTATTTTATTTATTTTCCAATAATTTTGATGTCCTACAAATCCGCGACAAGAAATCAGAAACTTATAACATGTATCCTATGCGCATTTTATTTTCTACAACAGAAGTTCGCTGCCAAACAAAAATGTGATCGTCTTGCAACCTTCAATGTCTGACTTATTTTAAAAATCCTACTCTATATCAAAATAAAACAATTCGGACTCTTCCGTTTGAAAGTATGGTTTATTTTTCTCTAGTATAATATCATTACTGAGCACGGCTTTGCTTCGGTCTAATTGTCATTTTTCTGCTGAATAACGAACCATATATTCACCATGAAATAAGTCTATAGCTGCATAATTTTTTTATAGGATCATTTTGGTTTGATTTTTTCCCACTACAAGCACACATACATTTTGTTATATATATACATTTTATATTTAATTTGACTGATCTGTATCTTTGTGGCTCAATAAATTATAACACACTGCTAATAAAAATCTTTCAGGTAAATTTTATCATCGTTGTTATGGTAATGAAAACGATGTTCTCTTCCTCTTTTATGGTGAAAAAGTCTCTGAAAGAAAAGACAATGTAAGTTTTACTTTGTAAGTGCTCAGAGATATGTACACATTTTTATCTGAATTTGATATGAATATGTTTTTTAATATTAATGTTTTTAGCAGATAATATGTGCTGAAAATTTTAGACAATGGGAAAATTGGTTTATAGGTGTAGTAAAAACTGTTTTGATTAACAGTTACATGCTGATATAGAAAAAAGTGTTCACAGGTTATTTTCTTCTTTTAAGATACAGCAAACTACACTTTATGATTGGGGCTTGAATGCTGTTTGCTATAACAATTTTCTTAGTATCCAAAATGTATAAATCCATTTGTACCTTTCATTTCATTTTCAAATATAATGTCAAAGAAAACGTCATTGCTATCCCCTAAAATTTTTTTTTATTGTTATATGTTGCAGAAGTGGGGTTCGAGGAATGAGTGCATTGTTACCTGTCCTTGGGTTGACTTGGGTTTTTGGAATTTTATCAATAGATAGCAGCACCATTGTCTTCAAATATTTATTTGCCATATTTAATTCCTTACAAGTAAGTCTTCTTTCTAGACCTTTCCGTCAACAAATCGTAAAATTGATTAGTTTTCATTCTCTGTTTTTTCTATCTGTGTGTTTGTCAATGGCTTCAATGCATATGGCAATCTAACAAACAAGCTTAAGTTTTATGATAAACGGGTGTCTAACTCTTCAATCGTCAGTGTCCCTTACTTATATACATAAATACCCCCATCACCTGCGTACGGGGTTGATATCTTTCAGTTGAATCAATGGGTGAGAGCAAGCTACTCAGGAAAAATTTCTAAAATGAGGTACATGTATATTATTGGCAAACAAGTTGCTGAAACAAGAACAGCAATCTCATTTAGCATTACGTTATATGGCTGATTTCTGCATCTTCCTAGCCGTGAGTTCTGATGAGCGATGTGACCCACTGACCTCTTGTTTCTATTTATGAGTTATCACGTGATAATGAGGTGGTACAGTGCTTCTGTTTGATAATTTTAAAAGGATACTAACAATTATTATTCTTCTGTTAAAATGTTTCCTGTATAAAGTAAAAATCATAAAATAACCACTTTTACCGGTCAGAAAATTTCCACGCATAGCTAAGGTTTAATTTGTGCTACCCAACCCTCAGAAAATTTTCATGTAATTTCTGCCGCCAATCTTAATTTCCTAGAAAAAATCCATAGACTAATGATATCATCTTCAGCAGCATTGCGATGTCACCTTGACTGCTCATTCCAGCAATGTTTCTTTTTCAAAATACCAAAACTTTCATAATTTTCCTATGAATCTGTAATATCAGGGAAATCCAACCCTTAGAAATTATTATATACATCAGATGTAATAAAGCATTGTTTCATTGAACCCTGGTGGAATAAAACCTTTCACGGTTTGATAAAGAGCAACCCCACTGACAGCCAGTGGATAAGTGTATACTATGATTTATCATATTTGACAAATAACTGTTAAAATTATATTTAGACGATGGCTTCGTTTGGGCTTTTTTACCTGCACGCTAGTAGTGTTAAGCAGTGATAAAAAGATGTACAAGTGAAATCAGTGTCGTGGTCCTTAAAAACTCATTTTGCTTTATTCAAATATCTTGTATAATTCTGTATTTTTGTATTTCAGGGCCTTTTTATTTTCCTGTTCCATGTTTTAATGAACAATCAGGTATGGCATGCATTCATGTGTAACAGGATAATAATGAACAATAAAATAAATAAAATATTAAGTTATTTGTCAGATTATCAAAGTATATTTCATACTCACTTTGCTTATTAAAATGGGATGTTTGGAAATGGAAAATAAAATTCAGATATGTTTGGTTTAACTTTTTATAAGTATGTATTTGTTATACCTCTACATTGCAGAGAGTCAGTGTATATTATATTTCATAGGTTCGGCAAGCCATGTCAAGAAAAATTAGAAAATATGAATCAAGAACTTTAACGACGCGAACGTCCAAGAACAAATTAGTAAGTGGAAAAACATAACTAAAACAATTTTGAAAGGTAATTTACAAATTTTTAATGGTGTCTGATCAATCCCAATTTTTTCTTAAAATTGTAATCTTGAAATAAATTATTTTTCAAAAACACAAGTTTGGAAGTTCAGTTTATTTTTTTCCTAAAATTTGATATAGGTTTCAAAATCAAATTCTAAAGATTTATACAGTGAAGAGGAATTCAAAGGTAAATGTCTTTATTTTTTTTTTACTTCGACTATTTTTTACTATTTTAATTTTAACTAATTTTTTTGTTGTTACGATTTTTTTTTTCAATTAAATAACAGAGGTCAGAAAATACTCTGAGGGATCCATTATACCAAGGATACAATTACCGGTATGTAAAAGATTGAACATGAAAAAAAGCCTCTTTTCAATTATTCATAACTGAAAATGTAGAAAATGCTAATTCAAATAGGATAGTAAAATACTATTAATTTTTTTTTTATAAATAAAATGATTTAAGTTAATCAGTGAACTAAAATGAACATGAGAAAGCATAAGGAACAAAAGTAGGTGTAATTGAATGTGTTCATATATTTATTTTATTTTTCCATAGAATCCTGTTTACCGAGGAAAATCGACGCCATGTTGAATATTTCTTATAATGCGTTTTGATACTCTTTTTGCATTATCATCATTTGATATGTGATTTTGGACTTTAAAGAAGAGGATATAAACGTAGTGAAGTCTAGAAAAACTATATATTGATGATATACTATTTCGTGATTTTTGCTGTTCATGTACAAAAAATTATTATTATTGGTTGACATCCCGCTTCATAATGATTTAGATAATGGTCACTTGTTTATAAAAACTGTTCATATATGCAATGAACATTGAAGATCGAGTGCATATAATTATTATGCTGGAGCATAAACAACTTATTTTTGTTGTGGTAAAAGTATATTTATTTTTAAGGTTATCCAATCTTCAATTTTATTCATGTAATTATTTAACACGATTCCCATGTTGTGCATGATTTGGTTTCTTAGATATATTTTATTTTCCTTACCTGTACACTTGCACATATCTGTGATACTATTCTTCAAATAAACTGTGGAAAATTTTAATAGATTTGCAAGTTAAAACTAAAATTAATTGAATTTAAAAAAAAAGATCTTTACAACAAGTTGATAATCAAATACCGAATGACTACTAGAAAAGATTTTAATTTTTTTTGTAGAAACACTCAGAGGAATATTACACTTGTTATGAGCCTTTTGAATCAGATACTAAGTAGACAGAACATGCTATAGTCAGATTCAGTATAAAAACAAAGGCCTACCAATTGGTATGAGTGATTTTCTACTTCCATTCTTTTTGAAAAAAAATATCGGTCTATGATGTCATAAAAATTGGACTTTCATAAAATGTTGAGAAGTAGTATTGATGTTATTAATTCTGGTATAATTTTATGATTTCAAATTTCAGAGTTCCATTGGATTTTTAAAGTTTCAAAACCTGATAAGCACTACGTTTTAAAGGTGCATGGACACAGATTTGAAAATAATGTTTTCTGTATAATATCATGATTTATATATATTAATAGCATTTCACACAAAAATGTATTGAAATTTTTATTTCATTTAAAGTTATTAAAACTTCAAATTTTTGGATTGTTTGATGGAAAGATCCTTACACTTTTCACCAGTTTTTTTTACTTTTATTAAAACTTTAATCCAGAAAAATAATTACTGTGAGTATATTCAGAGTAGAAATGTTCGAAAGCAAAACCCCTTCACAAGTATCGTCATTTTATTCGCAATTGCAAGAACGAAGAACTTCCTAAATGTTCTCCTTCATTAATCTGTTAATAATTTAGAAAGGAGTAAAAAAAAAAGAGGCTTGGAGGAACATTTATTGGAACCCACTTATTTTTGAAGAAAGATTAATCGATTTGCTTATCAAATATTGAGAGGAAGAAACAATACTTCAAATAGAAAAATAAATCACGATTTCAAACATTCTTTTCATCACAACAACTATGAATTTGATCTATAATCAGGTCTGTTAAGTTTTTATATCAAGTGCTTTTGTTTCAAAATAAGTTTACAAGGAAATATATGCATGTAGAGATAACGAACATTATTCAAGCTCAACAGCCCATTTCACAGTAAAAAATAGGAGCATTGCCAACACGGATCTCAAACACAACAGGTAGGATCAGGTGCCATGTAGAAGGGATTATCCCCGGCTAAACGCCACCTCCGCCGTGTGCTCCCTGTCATGATTGGGAAATAACGTAGAAAATATGTTGTCAATTCAGCATGTAAATAATGGACAACAATTTGTATGAAAAACCTCAGTCAGCATTAGATTCAATAACAAATTGCTGACAAGGCCATTGTACAGTAAAACTCGGTTATAACGATGAAATTGCTTCGCTATAGCCGTAATTCGTTATAACCGTATAAGAAATTTATATAGCTGGGGATTCAAGATGAATTCGCTATATCCGTGAATTCGCAATATCCGTATTCGTTATTACCGAGTTTTACTGTATCGACCATAGAACTTACGATATTATGACCTTAAACGAGACTGCTAATATTCTTGTTTCACTACCTTGTTTGTCAATAATTTACCATTTTAGAAATAGTACATACATATAGCATGCTATTGTGTATCGAATCAACTGAGAGATATAAACTCCGTATGCAGGTGATAATGATGTATTACTGGATAAGTAAGTGACATTGGCGATTGAAAAGAAGTCACTCTGTTTATCATAGAGTTTGGTTGTTGGATTACCATTAACGTCTCCTTCAAATGAAATAATATCTAAGTGTGAGACAGATGTGGTAGAATTTTTTGTGGTATCTTTTATCTCAAGCTCACCTGGATGACTGTATCGTATTGAAATAAGAATGGGAAATCACCTATGTGAAATGACATTATGTCGTCGATATATTTTTATGTCGAGTGAAGGCTTCGACCGGTTTATTTTCTAGATTTTGAACAAATTCTGCTTCATATGAATATTAAACCAGGTCTGCTAAAAATGAACTCAATTTGACCCATGGAATTACAGTAGATTGTTGGAAGACCCGGTCTTCAAGAGCCACTTTGGTATTGTTAATAAAAAACTCAAGCATTTTTATATGTAAGCTTTATATCTAACTACTTCACATTGATTTATTTCTATTTGCCTTCGGGCTTGTATTACATCTTAACTCTCTTCTTCTTAATCACCTTCGAGTTTTTCTTTGTAATACACTTTACAACTTTCATTGTAAATCAAATAAAGCTTCTGTAGGATAACGTCTAACTTATGACTAACATAAGACAATAAAGGTGTTCAAAGTGAATGTGAACAGACACCATATGAGATGTTGATAGGTTTTCACGTATATGTCACGTGACCACCTATTTATTTCATAGGTCGGTAGGGTGAATTCACCATGCATCGGATACCCTTGTACTTCAACGAGTTCTAGCGATATCGCTACCGACGGAAAATTATCAAAATGGAGCTTAACATTTAGTTTGTGATTAAAATATCAATTTGGGACACAATTATATGCCCTTAATTGAGAAAATATCCTCAAAAATCTTTTGAGTTTTTAGGAATAACTCAAAATTCACATGGATCGGACATTGTTTACCATGCATCGGACAGACGGTATTTTGACCGGAAAACTATCATACCTTTATCAAAGTGCTTTAAAATGCTTGATATGGATATTTTTTTATCTTTTATCTAAGAAATAACCCTCGACTTAAATTTAATTGACGATATCGTTGAACAAATGTAAAACGATTCAAGAGACCTCACTCTGCCTTAGAAATGTTTTAAAATGCTTATAATGCGGTAATTCGCGCCTTTTTTTCATGGTTTATCATACTCTGGTTTGTAGAAAGTAATTGAGTCAAATTCCAGACGTCATATATCTATAACTTGTATTTTGACTAAAAATATAGAGTTTTTATTTTCTTTTTCTGCAAAAAACAGCTATCAGCTGGGTTCTGTATGAAAATGGTAGTGCTCACCTTTGCATCGGAAAGTGTCCGATGCATGGTTAATTTGTGTCCGATGTACGGAGAAATGAACATACTGTTGAAAACCACCTCTAAAAAGAGTTATACGAATAATGAAGTGAAATTTCTTTAAAATTTATGTAAAATTACCAATCTTTGACTTTATTCACCAAAGTCTTACTCGTTCTGTTGAAGTCGAATTTTAAGAACGATAACTCAAAAAATCGCAAAATCATAAATTTCTGGTTATTCCCCTTTGATGATGTAAAATATGACGTAACTTCAAGGCCATTCTCGGGGTATTTTTATCATAACATAATAATAACAATCGGTATCATTAAAGAATTTAAATCTTCAGCTTTAAGACAGAAACAAATAAATACACGGAACTCTTAAGTTGAAAGAGAGTTATTGTCTAAAGTTGTCCGAAGCAAGGTATGTGTCCGATGCATGGTGAATTCACCCTATTGCTCACGATTTGTATTGTTTTATAAGAAAATTGAGCTTGATAGCTGTTTTTTTCTATACGTTCCATTGATGAAACAATAATCACTTCCCAAAAGCTATTTCGTTGGACACGTTTTATAAACATTTCCTTCAGAGATCTATCTTAATATCTTAATCAACTGACTGCAAGTGACAGAATTCTCATGTCCTTTAGCTTTATATGGTGGAGGTGCTTTATCATAGGTTTTTAGGTTATTGGGAATGAAATATGTGGAGATAACGAACAGTATTCAACAAGCTCAAAAAGCCAAAATTGGAGCGGGGAAAACATGGACTTGCAACACATCAAGTTTGTTCCTTTCTTTAAAAAAATTTTACTGCACATTTTCTTAAATATTTAAAATTGATCATGAATGTTGACAATCTTTTTTTCTGTTCTCTCTGTAGGTGCGCTAAACAAAACAACAATTTTTAGAATAATAATTGTATTTATGTATTGAATGCGATAACTTAGTTTGGAGGTTTCCGGTAGGATTAATTGATAAAATATAAAAAATTCTTAGATCCACGCCTTGGTTGATGGATTACGTGTGATAGAAGGTGTAAGGTCACGTGGTCATTCAGTTGTATTGTGATAACCCGCCTGCTGACCACGCTAAAATTAGAGGCACGTCTATTTTGAAGATTTGTTACAACGTCTGTGATTGTTTAACTTAGCTGAACGTGCCCTGTCTTTCTGTCGAGATGAAATTCCAAAGAATTGAAAGGAGCAAAGAATTGTTCGTGTTGTAAAGTGCCATTTACAAGAACGGGGGGATTTTTTTGGTTTATTGTTTACTGATGCGGTGGTACATAATATGTGCGCGGGTTATCAAATATATTACCTGATTACTGTATGATACATTTGGTGTATTTTTCTGCCGATATGAACTTTATTTATAGGCAGATATTCATGAGAAGAACATATTTCATGGAGCTATTTTATTGCGACATCAAACGTGGAACTTTTTCCTATAGTCTGAATTTTGAAAGGATTTCAAAGTAAGCTATTTGTTACTGGTTGAACAAAACAAATAGATACCTTTAATGATTACTATCTCTATATCGATCTCCATGATCAGTGGACACAGAGTTTGATCAACAAAAGTTGTGATAGATAACGAACATCCTGCAAGTATCTGCTGCAAGCATCGCTATTTCACAGCTGGGGCCACAGCGGGAGACCCTGAACCTCAACGACTTGGGCGTTTTAGGTCCAGCCGGCATACACCTGTGCTGCTTCACCGCGTGCATAACAGAGTTTGCCTTCCCATGTAATTGAGGACGAAGGCCAGTATTATGTTTACTTTATAATTGATTTACAATTATACATAACGCGCTTGGGGTTTCCAAATAGTTTTTTGTGTATAAGTTATCACTTTCAATTATTCAAAGGCATTGTTTAATACTCAAATCATG